AGTCGTTCGAGAAATAACGATAAATAATTGCTAAATCATAGAATGGATTAGTATTGTCCTGGGAATTAAGTGTGGCACTTGATCATATATATTATTAACACATTGTTTGCTCTTTTTCTAGACTTTGATTTATTAATGGTAACGGGACTTAACGGTTGTTGTTAAAGATGCATGCCTAAAATAGTTCAAGAAAATCAAACTTGTGAAAATATACTATTATTTAAGGAATAATAAGAAGATTTAAGATTTAGGTAATACTTTACACGTTATGTTCGATTAATGAATGATTTTGCATTATTTATCACCATAGAATTTCTTCTGTGTGACTAACGCAGTAAGGGCAATTTTTGCATATTTTGACGTCTTTTTGGTAAATTACGTGGATTGTAAGTGTCGTATGCAATGTTAAAATTACTTCACAATATCGTCACATGATGATTTAGAAATAATATCTGCGGTGTTTATCGGCTATTTAACGTTTTGATGCGTGGGAATTGACCGCGAAGGCGGTAGGCCTGAATGGTTATTTTTTTCGCATCAAGTGTTAAATAGCCGATAAACACCGCTCAGACCGATATCATTTCGATTCTAAAACGATAAAATAAAGAAGATCACTTATCTTATTTTTTCAAGCGGAAATAACTTCCGGTGCCGATTTTCGTATAACGCTATATGATTTTCGCACCCTACTGTTGCTAAGATATAGAAATTATTAAAAAAAGAAAGAAAAAAATAACAAAAAACGTTATTTTATCAAGTTTTCAATAGATCTTGCTACCTTTTTCATATTGAAATACAGTGCGGTAAATGGAGATAAAAGGTCTCTCAGCTAAGATACAACAAATAAAAGCCCGTCAAGAGAACTCAGGAACACACTAACTAACTAATTAACTAACTTATTAACTAAAAACCAACTAACTAATTAACGTTCTTACTAACTAACTAAACTTGCTAATAATCATACTTTAAATTAATCAACATCCTGTTAAATAAATCATTTATTATTGTGGAAAAATTTAGAAAGTATTGAAGAGTAGATGGATTTCGTGAGCATGACGTCTATTAAAAAGTATCTTGCAAACAGAAATATTTTTAATAAACAAAAAATGTTTTACTCTTTCCTAGATACTGTAGCACAAAAGCGCTGAAAATTGTTTCCTTGAACGGCTTTCAGCGTTATTCATTCTTGCCGATGAATGGCTGTCGATATTATCATTAAAAAGAGGCGAACGGCTGATGACGTTACTAATATTGTGATGGCACTTGTCGAAACGTTTAACGAAATCGTAAAATGAATAAAAAGAAATTTTTATCATGAAGAAAATATAAGATTTTGTGACCCGCATCTCATCGGATAGTTGTGGTTATTTGCAGTCCCAAAATTTCTCATGAGGTAAAAAAGCTTTGCAAGGGGGCCAGAAAATTTGTTTTGGCATACTCCTTTTTGGATGTTTGACTTATAATTTCCCCTTAAAACCCTTTGAATTTTTAACTTGGGAAAAGCAGGGATACGTTAAAAAAAAAAATGAAATTTTCTTTTACCCCCGTCAATTGTTTTTTCGTTTGGCCGCCGAAAATTTTAAAAATTAAAACCCCTGGTTTCCAAACTGTCCCGACGTTTTTAACTTTTGGCTGTCTGCCCAATTTTGATTTGGGGAACGGTGGGGGCCCCTTTTGGGGGGTTTAGATCAATGTCCCAACGCGAAAAACCGGCCCCCCAAAAAAGTAAAAACACTCGATCAAAAAATTCCCTTTTAAATTAATTTTAAACAGGAATTGGGGTAATTTAAACACCAAAAAAATTAAAAACTGGTTTTTTTCCCCCAAAACAAAGGTTTCAAAAAAAAAAAAAAAATTTTTTTTTTTTAAAAATAAGGAAAAAAAATTACTCCCAAAACAAAAATTTAAAAAATTTATATTACAGTTGTGTATGCCAAAACTAAATTTGCTTGAAATTTCGGTCAATTGTGGCATTTTTGTTAGATCAAAGATTCTCTGTGGTTATGTTGACAAATTGAGGGCGTTCGGTTGTCAAAATTCCAGACATGCAATGTGTTCTTTTGAAAACTACTTTGAAAATGTGAATGTGTATGTCTTAGCATTTTTGATTTATATTCGTGCAAAGCAATTGATATGTCTCTGAATCCTATCTTTTAATTGAAGGCACCCGCTTTTTGAAATAACAAGTTTACCTGTAGATCTTAACAACTGAATGAACATGGAAAACAAGAATAAATTTACAAGTTAGTATCTTCCATTGCATATAATAAATACGCAAGTTTGCACACCTATAGATATCTATCTGTACCTGAATATACAAATGAAAATATAAAACTCGATTACAGAAAATAGAGTTTAAGAAAACGTGCTTCCAGTTGTAGAACTACAAGAGTACGTTAACACAGTAACATGTTTAAAATGACAAAAGTAGATTCTCAAAGTTGAAAGATTTTAAGTCATGCATGACGCCCCGCCCCTCTTTGAGTATTTACGAACTTCTATTGCGGACAGGTATTGAACCCGGCGCCTATTTCTAAATAAACCTGAGGAAAACACGCCGTATTCTTCCTTACATATCTTTTGTTGCATTTGTTACAAAAGTTTTATCACTAGCTAAATCACCTGAAAATTGCTAATTTTACTATTCATTTATACAAAATAATTAAGATAACTTATGCACTTACTTACTATTTAACCTCGTGTTTTCCTGAGAAACATCGGCAATTTGGAAATTTTAAGGGGAAAAAAGACCAACTTTAAGCGATTAATTTTACTCATAATCTAAAGACCTGCCACTATATGTATTGGTATCATTGAAAAAATGTGTAAGTACAAATTTCAATTTAAACAAAATCAATAGATGCGAGTTATTGAAAAAATAGGATTTTAAAGCGGCCACTGAGATTTCCTTTCCGAAATCCAGAAAGTACTTATCCGTACAACATTTGTGCAATCTTTGATAAGGTATTTTCAGTATGAATAAATACTTATTTTAATCAGCGTCTTAACTTTCATTCTATATTCATTTTCTAATAACAATAAGTTGGAAAAAAAATTCTACATAATTAATTTTTATTTTTAAGGCATCACTAGAAAGTTCATGAATAATTCTTTCATTTGACACCAAAATTATTAAAATTGGTAAAGAAGCTTAAAGAAAATAAAAAAAGCTTGTTTTTTTATTGAATTTCAGAGTGTGGTTTTCAGAAAGTAACATGATAAACTTTGAAACGAACATTTTAATACTTCTTCTTGATTCATTTTTATATTTAGGCATTTCATAATTATAGACTATAAAACTTATGATGAACCCTTTTATTTTAATCCAAAATTAACAAAATTGATTAAGAAATTAAAAAAGAAGTTTGGAGGGGGCGCCGTGTTTTTCTTACCGATTTGAGAGTGTGATTTTTCAGAGGAAAAATGATAAATTTTGACCCAAAAATTTTAAAACATCTATTTGATTCATTTTTTTCTGAGGCATTCATAGAAAGCTTAAGGAGTAATCTTTCATTTGGTACAATTTATTTATATAAAAAGTTACGAGGGAAGCCTTTTTCCTTCACTTTGGGAGAGGCGCCGGATTCTATACCTGTCTGTACATTTCCGTAACAGAAACTAATAAATACTAAAAAAGGGGCGGGGAGTCATGCATGACTTAAAATCGTTTAACTGTGTGAATATACCTTTGTCATTCTAAACATGTTACTGTGTAAACGTACTCTTGTAGTTCTAACTGGAATACGTTTTTTTAAACTCTATTTTCTGTATTCGAGTTATGCGCTTCTTTTATATATATCTCAGGTACAGATATATATCTATAAGTTTTCAAACTTGCTTATGTATTATATGCAATGGAAGATACGAACTTGTAAATTTGTTCTTGTTTTCCATGTTCAATCAGTTGATAAGATATATAGATGAAAACATGTTATTTAAAAGCGGGTGCCTTCAATTAAAAGATTAGATGAAGAGGCATATCATTTGCTGTGCACGAATACAATAAAAAATGCTAGACATACACGTTCGCATTTTAAAAAGGCGTTTTCAAAATGAACAGTTTACATGTCTGGAATTTTGGCAACGAACGCCCTCCATAGACAAATATCTACATGATCATATCAAGCCGAACAAGTTCTTAGACATACCACAATTTTGCACTAGATCTAGTCCCCTTCTTATAGCTTTCGTTGATATCGAGCAAAGAATATTCATACAGTCTGGCTAGTTTTTAGACACTAGATAGTAAGAAAGTATTAAGACTTGATGGTATACGGTATTTTTTCATACATGTAAAAAGTGTTTGAAAACCAGTTTTATCGTTGTAAAAGATATCCAATTCGTGTTTTAATATCTAAATATTTTTGATAGAGTGTTAACAGGGGCGTATCCCGTTGGGGGGACAGGATATGTCCCCCAAGCGTCTGTGATGATTTCAACTGATTATGAGTGTCTTGAAAAGTGACTGATTATGAGTTTGCGGCCCGCTGAACACAAGTGCATGCAAAAACTGAAACAATGACGTAACATCTTACGTCATCGAACAGTAAAAAACAGTAATTGAAGAGAAAGTAGGTTTTAAGCATGAATCGCATGATATTGTCATGATCACTTTGTACAAACGAAGTTTTATTGAAATTTAAAGAAAAGAAATAAATGCTACAGTTTCATTCCGTTAAAAAATAGCGTGCTTCTTGATTATGGTGGACTTTGTATACATGTACATATAGATCTAAAAGAAGCAACTCTGCAGTTCTAAGTTACTGTACAAACTCCGCACAGGGATTTGATTGGCTACGCTCTGTGTATCGAAGCAAAGTCTTAGTTTGGTTACTGTACATTACAATATCAATATACAGACAGGAATTTCAACGAAAGAAATTTTAATATCAAAGTTATTTTTGAAAAAATGCTTCTATTAGGACTACCATGTGTGTTAAAGACATAAATACACGTCATAGACGGATCGGAAAGTGATAACCGGCCCTGAAATTAATAATGCTAAGATTAATCCTGTCGTGTATTAATATCTTAATGTTGCAATCGTATAATTTTTAAATTAATTTAATTTCAGGACATGGAAAATGAGCCGGCAATAGTGGAGTCTCCAGTAGAACCACTGCGCTTGAAGGTATCCACGCTGGTTTTCGATGCTTTAGAGGAAATGTACTTCGCCGGAAGACATAGCGATGTTGAGGTCATAGTACAGAACAAATCCTTCCGCTGCCATAAAGTAGTTCTTGCTTCCGTTTCACAGTATTTTGATGCTATGTTTCTGTCGGGAATGAGAGAATGCTACGACGGCGTTGTTCACCTGCAAGAGATTGAAAGTTCTACTTTTGTTGATATTCTTGATTTCATTTACTCTGGAAAACTAAACATTTGTACGGAGAATGCAGAGGATTTACTGCGCGCGTCGACTCTGTTTCAAATCAAAGTTCTGCATAAAAAATGCGAGGAGTTTCTGATTGGTCACGTGGCCACTGAAAACTGTATAGGTGCGTGGAGATTGGCTAAAACGCACGAGTGTAAAGAACTGGCCAAGAAAGCTTGGTATGTGATCCTTGAAAACTTTACAGATGTGTGTCAAACTGAAGACTTTAATGTCTTGGACGCAGAAGAAATGTTTGAAATAATCAACGACGATGACTTACAAGTTACAAATGAAGAAATTGTTTGCGATTCTGTTTTCCGGTGGTATCGATTTGATCCGGAAAAACGAGAGGAACATACGTCGAAACTGTTCGAGCATCTCCGATTGCCACTTTTAAGTTCCGAATATCTCTTGCACGAAGTAGAACCGATGGAACTTGTCGTCAACAATCAAAAGTGTCGCGATATCGTACGAGAGGCAATTAGTTACCAGATGTTACCATCAAGAAGACCGGATTTTAACTCTCCTCGTGTCACGTTTAGGAGGTATGCCAACATGGAGGAAGTTCTTGTAGTAATTGGCGGATATAACGCTTCTAATGAGAGGGTGGCAGATGTTCTTGCCTATAGTTTTGCGCGAAAAACTTGGTTCCAACTAATGTCATTGCCATGGAAATTAGGTCGCGAGTTTTCTGCATGCGTTTTTGGGAACGATATTTTCGTGTCAGGTGGATCCCAGAAACTCGATTCGTTACTCCAATTTCGATCCGAGACCAATGAGTGGGTACGCTGCACAAACATGATTCAGGGGCGCAGACGACACGCAATGGTTGCATTAGGTGAATCCCTCTTTGTTCTTGGAGGCTATGACGACAATCAAAAAGAAGAATCAAGCAGAACGCTTTCTGATATTGGTGAATACGCAATTAGCTCCCACACATGGTCACACACTGGGGATCTTGTAACTGCTGTACGATCAACGACAGCAGCTGTTAGTAAAGAAAAGATATTTATATTCGGTGGTCTGCTAGCAGATGAAAAAGAAACAAACATTGTCCAGTGTTTTGATACTCGTTTGAAAACTTGTTTCCGTGTTGAGGACTTGCCTTATGCTTGTAAACTAAGTCGAGCTGTCGTTTGTGATAAACGGGTATTTGTCGTCTGCACAGATGGAAACATTCTTGGACTAACCGAAGATGGCGCTAGCAAACCGGTCGCGAGAATAAAACATTTCAATCGCAGGCGATTTGGAGCTATACACCACAAAGGGAATATCCTTTTAATCGGCGGGGAATGCGGTGCAGAAGTCTTTAGAGATATATTTACATTTAACCCAGACACGGAAAAATCGTGCACTATTGCAAGGAAAAATGTTCCATCACGTGCGAACTTTGCGGGCCTAAAACTGATTCTTCATAAAAAGTTTCTTAAATATGACATCAAATTTGATTCTGGAAAGGTGTCTAACCCGACCGCAACACAGTCTAGCTGATTTAAAAATGAAAGTGTCTATAAAAACCGCAACAGTGTGCAGATGAAATGCAACACAGTCCAGTTGAAATAGAAGAATGATTTAAAAATGAAAGAATTTATCAAATCCGCAACACAGTCAAGCTAAAATAGCAGTGGTTAAAATGAAAGAGTTTATAAAAACCGCAATACAGTCAGAATGATTTATAAATAAAAGTGTCTATAAAATGCAGTGGAAATCGGTGTCTTATTACGAGTTCGTAACATGTATAAAACAACATATTTTTGCTTGATTTATTTTTTGATCTTAGTTTATATTTCAAAAAGTTCTCAAATGAAACTCCTTATTTTAAAACATTAATTGTTTTCTTTTGAAAATATTATTGGACAGATAACTCATGCATACATACTGGCATATTCAATGATATACACGAGTTAAAAACTTAAAATCAAATAGTATGTCACAAATACATGATTTTTAAAAAAAATAAACTAAACAATATTTTATAGATGTTTAATTTCGCTTTATTTCATTACATTTGTTTAAAGCTGCATGTCCCCAGGTGGGCAAAACTATTCAAGAAAATTAACCTTAAGAAAAATGTAATAAAATGCCATGAAAAGTAAAAAAAAATATTCACAATTCAAAAATTAATTTGCATGTCATATGCAATTGAATTTGCAGTTTTTATCACCATACTTCAACTGTGCGACTACACATCTAGTATTGGAAGCTTTTTTTGTGTTTTGATCTATTTTTTGTATGTTTTTTAAAAAAAAGTTTTTATGTGCCGTTTGCAATGTTTAAAATGCGTTTTTGTTGACGTGACAGTATTTTACTTTTTAAAAACATTTTTCACGAAAATTTACATAAATATGAAGGCATGCTGCCTTTAAATGTAAAATTCTGAGAAATTTGCAGACATATTGGTACATATTTTTATTTGGCGATTGTTAATAATATCTTACTTTACATTGTTTCTTTATTTTGGATTTATATCAAACATTAAAAATGAATTGCGTTTTATTTAAGCGTTAATTTAGATGATCATACACTTGTTCTGTATACTTCTTTGTTATTATACTTCGGGTTCTTTAACACCGCGGTTTCTAGGATATCATACGGTAGGTTTAATGGTACTGCGAGTTCTACAATATCACGGGTTCTGTGATATAAAGTGTTAAATGATACTACACAGGGTCAATGATACCACAGGCTCAATGATACCACGGATACTATGATATAACAGGTTCAATGAAACCTTGGGTTCTATGATACCACAATTTATATGATACCAAGGGTTCCATACGAATGGTTTTATGATACCACGTGTTCTATAAGATTAATTATATTTATAAGTCATTTGGATCGGAATATACGGCCCGAGGGGACCCGCCCTTTGGACGGTAACTAGGCTTATCGAGTTGCGCCTATGGGGAGCCACCGGGAGACGGATATTCCGATCTGAGCCGAAAACATTAGACAAGTTAAGATATTTTTATGCATATTATACCATATTCCATCATAGTTGAAATTCTTTACCCGAATAAAATAATTTTCCATAAAAAATTATGTCATTACAACCGTAGCTAGTTTCATACAACAACTTATTTCATGCTTTCCAGTATTTTATTGTAATATATCAGATGATTATATTCTGATAAACCACTAGTGAAATTTATAAAATATAATTTTCACTGTAGCCGGACTATATCTGAATGCGGATGAAAAGAAAGTTAAACTAAATAGAATAACAGGCAGAAATAAATGCTGTCATACGTAAATTTTGCTTCTCCGGGAAAAGAAAGTCGATGTCACCATACATCATGTTAAAAATGTAACAAAATTAGAAAAAAATTAACAGAACTATATTTCAAAATTGATGATGTGACGTCATGATGTGATGACGTCACAAAGGAGAAATCGCGACGTTACGCGGCAAAATCAGTAAAAAATACTTAAATTCACTTAAAAAGCATGAAATAAAAAGAAAATTTATTTGTTTTACATATAAGTTTGAAATATATTTCATTCGTGAACACCAGCTATTATATTTTCACTCGTGGCTACGCCACTCGTGAAAATATTGTATCTGGTGTTCACTCAGTGAAATTATATTTCAATCTTACATACAAAACAAACAAATATCCTCTATGTCTCACAAAACGGCATGCAGTTCCATTCTTGTATACGAAACAATGATTTCATTTTAATGTGGTTCATTTTTAAAATTCTCTAAAACACCTAATTATCTAATTATGTAATTATAATACATTTATTAAGTTACGAAGAAAATACATTGACTAGGTCGAAAATAACTTTATTATATCCGCCGATTAAAGGCGTTAATAATGTGTATTAATTCTGTACCATATATGAAAAAAATCACATTTTCCGGCGTTAATGCGAAGCACAATTCCGTTCATCGGCGTTACCTCATAAAACGACTTGAATCACATTTTATCAGCTTATTTCAATTTTCTTTATCACCAGAAGCTTAGTTCATGTCATTTGCCTACCGAAAATCGAAACTATAATGTGAAATATGCATTGTTGTACTTATAAGAGACGACAAAAGCCAAAATATCGCTCAAAACGGTGGTCAAGCCATCATTTTCACGAATGATCTTAAAATGAACAATTTCGTGGAAATTATTTTGATGAGGGACTTCGCACCCGTATGCGGCTATTTTTTTTTTCAGTTCGGTTAAATAAAAAATATATTGGCCACTTTACTTACCGCATTGGAAATCCTATCAGGTATCTGCCATTTATTGCACAATTCTGCGTTACTTATTGCACGAATCGTGCGTTATTTTAACATTCCGACGTTACTGGATACACACGGTGTAAAATAACGCCGTTGAATAGCACGCAACTCATTAGACGGGTTTTTGCATATCAGACTGGTGTTTCCGTTAGTTTTACCCATGATAGAAATAACGTCTGGCATGGGGATACCAGCTAGGTGAGGCGTGTGCTATACAATGGCATTATTAAAATAAAAAAAAAAAATAGAACTATAACTAAATGTGATTAATACCCCCACAAAACTGCTTCGGAAATGAGGATGTTACTAGTAACAGAATACCTTGTAAAAGAATTGAAATATAGAGTTATGGTTGTGGGCAATTAAAGATAGTTATGGTTCTTATATGTTGCATTTCCTTTCAATGTGGTTGGCCATTGATGAAGTTTAATTGAATTACTCTGTAATAAGTCCAGAAAGACAAAGAAAAGGAACAAAGGGCAATAACTCTATCAATACTGAAGATAGAGTTATAGTTTTTGAGCACTGCACTTCCTCTTATTGTGCTTGACCATTGTATAAAGTAATATTGAATTCCAACCTTTAGTCTTCAAGTTATGGTCCGGACAAAAAAATCAATGGAAAAGTAACAAAGGGCAATAACTCTGTAATTGCTTTAGATAGTGTTATGGTTCTTGTGCACTGCACTTTCCCCTATTGTTTTTGACAATTGTATGAAGTTGTTTTGAATTCCAACCAGTTGTTTTCAAGTTATGCCCCGGACAAGAAAAAGTAACAAAGGGCAATTACTCTGTAATTAGTCAAGATAGAGTTATGGTTCTTGTGCACTGCACTTCCTCTCAATGTGCTTGACCATTGTATGTAGTTATATTAAATTGAAACTATTAGTCTTCAAGTTATGGTCCGGACAAAAAAAAGCATTGGAAAAGCAACAAAGGGCAATTACTCTGTAATTACTTTAGATAGAGTTATAGTTCTTGAACACTGAACTTCCCCTTATTGTGTTTGACAATTGTTTGAAGTTGTTTTGAATTCCAACCAGTAGTTTTCAAGTTATGCCCCGGACAAGAAAAAATTACAAAGGGCAATAACTCTGTAATAAGTCAAGATAGAGTTATGGTTCTTGTGCACTGCACTTTCTCTTAATGTGCTTGACCATTGTAGGTAGTTATATTGAATTCCAACCATTAGTCTTCAAGTTATGCCCCGGATAAGGAAAATGCAACGGACGTCTGGACCGACCGACCGACCGACCAACCGACCGACCAACCGACCGACCACCGAGTGACTCCTATATACCCCCCCAAACTTCGTTTTTGGGGGTATAAAAACAAACAATTATCGATTATAAATATGTATCGAAAATAAGCAACATGTTCTAATAATCAAATTTAAGTAATATTTTTAAGTCATTTAGTGTTGTCAAGTCGCATTAAATTGTTTAATGTTATTAAGCAAGCCATATCATCGCCTTTTCTTGTATCCCATACAGAATATGTTCTAATTACGAGATTAAGTGTTGTTTATGTTGAGAGTACACGTTTATAAACGTATTATGTAAAATTGCGTGCATATGGCGTGTATGCATATCTCCAGTAATAAAGGGGAATAAACCTTGAGGACATAAAATAGATTCAAACTTTTCTTTGATTCAAATACTTAAACTATGCGGTCATAGCTTGCATGTATATCTCCAGTTATAAAGGGGAATAAATCATGAGGATATAAAATAGATTCAAGCTTTCCTTTGATTCAAGTACTTTCACTTTGCTGTCAGAACGTGTATGTATATCTCCAGTAATAAAGTGGTACAAATCTTGAGGACATAGAATAGATTCAAGCTTTTCCTCGATTCTAGTACTTTCACTTTGCTGTCAGAACATGTATGCATATCTCCAGTAATATAGGGGTATCAATCTTGAGGATATAAAAAAGATGCAAGCTTTTCCTCGATTCTAGTACTTTCAATTTGCGGTTAGTACGTGTATGTATATCTCCAATAATGAAGGGGAATACATCTTGAGGGCATAGAATAGATTCAAGCTTTCCCTCGATTCCAGTACTATACTTTGTGGTCAGAACGTGTATGTATATCTCCAGTAATAAAGGGAAATAAATCGTGAGGGCATAGAATTGATTCAAGCTTTTCTTCGATTTAAATACTTTCACTCTGTGGTCAGAACGTGTATGTATATATCCAGTAATAAAGGGAAATAAATCGTGAGGGCATAGAATAGATTCAAGCTTTTCTTCGATTCAAATACTTTCACTCTATGGTCAGAACGTGTATGTATATATTCAGTAATAAAGAGAAATAAATCGTGAGGGCATAGAATAGATTCAAGCATTTCTTCGATGCAAAATACTTTCACTCTGTGGCCAGAACGTGTATGTATATATCCAGTAATAAAGGGAAATAAATCGTGAGGGCATAGAATAGATTCAAGCTTTTCTTCGATTCAAATACTTTCACTCTGTGGTCAGAACGTGTATGTATATATCCAGTAATAAAGGGAAATAAATCGTGAGGGTATAGAATAGATTCAAGCTTTTCTTCGATTCAAATACTTTCACTCTATGGTCAGAACGTGTATGTATATATTCAGTAATAAAGAGAAATAAATCGTGAGGGCA